ACAGCGAAAGAAGTTTTGGGGACTACAAAAAAATGCATCTGGGTTAATGATGTCATAAACCCTTTAGTTTATGCACATTCACTCTGTTCAGTTAAGGGGCGTGGCCTCAGGCGCTGTAATGTTATAGTAGAGAAAGTTAAAATGGCATCCAAACGCTGCTATTTCCACAGAGCTTGTTCTGTTTCTGTATTTGGTCTTCCAAAGGACACGACACAAAAAGGGAAGTGCTTATAATTTAATTTTATTTATATTCCAGAAAATTATTACAAAAAAAATATCTAGCTTTATGCTTATAGCTTTTTGGCACTGCTAACAATTTAACTACAAATTCCCATTTATCTGTCAATCTGCTGTAAACACCCACAATCTTCAGCAGCGCTGCAGTGTCTCTCTATGCAGCCCCTTTTTCTGCATTCTAAATCTCAAATAACAAACTTGCAAAAGATATGTGAACATTTCATATTACTTACACATGCTTATTTCGAATATATGACACTTGTCAGATATTTTTTTAGGGAGCAGGCATGAGGTTCAGCTGTGTCCTCTGTGTCATTTTCTGTCTGACTCAGGCTCAAACTGATATGGCAACACTGGCTAGTTACGGAGCAACGGCAAAGCGTGCGTTTGTAAGGGCTTGGCACTTTTCCTGGTGACGTGGAGATGATCTGCAAATCACAGCTCAATATGTTAACTGACCAATCAGAGCTTCTTGAGGGTGGCCCTTTCAGAGGAACTAGGAAATATGAGTGTAGTGTTCTTGTTAGCAGAGTAGGTGTATATAACTAAAAGTAAGATTTATGAAAAAAAAATAACCCGATTTTAGTATTTATACTGAATTTATATGATTTATGAAAAAAAATAATTATATATATATATATATATAATTCCTACTGGGAATTTTTGTCTCGTTTCTAGTCCATAAATTTGATCTTGACATTTCTTTTGATGGTGAAAACAAAATAGTTTTACTTGCTCTAAGAACATTTTGATATTTGGACAAGAAACTAGACCAAACACAGTAATAAAAGCATTTTTGTACCTGAATAGTGTTAGGTTCCCCAGAAAACCATCAAAATGTGCTATTCAAACAATCTTGTGAAATTGTATTCATATTAGTAATCAAAAATTAGTTTATCCGATTTTCAAAATATTTTATAGCACAATGTGATACTGTCAATAAAGCAGCCATTTACCCTAGATTAATTAACAGAAATGAAAATTATGTAATCAGACTGGCATTTTGGTAATTTGTGTCTTGAAGAATGTTGGTATGCAACATAGCTTAGTTTTATTTTTTGTTCATATAATAAAAATCAAAGAAAAACAAAACAGTTTGGATCCCTTGTTTTCCCATATAAAGTATGTGAAAAACATTTACCAAAAAATAGTCGTCCTAAATTTATAGTATCC